CAGAGACAGACAACCAAGCACACTCACATTCACACCTACGGACAATTTAGAATCACCAATTAACCTCAACATGTTGGACTGTGGGAGGAAGCCGGAGAACCCGGAGAGAACCCACACTGCATGAGGAGAACATACAAACTCCACGCAGAAAGATCCCGGGTGTCCTCACCGGGACGCAAACCGACGACCTTTGAGCTGTGAGGTGACGGTGCTCACCACCGATCCACCTTGCAGCCCCACTAATAAACAAAACGACAAAATCTAAATCTGTTATGTACCAAATGACTTTATTGCAGCTTATAATCTGTGTATGTGACAGCTCACGTGTTTGATACAAAGTGTGACTTGCCATTAGATCTGACAGATCCCGTCTCCCTGTTGTGGATAATTTATTATTTGAGTCACGAATAACGTTACAGCTGCTGTCCCACATGTGTAAATGTGCAAATTTCTTGCTTTGGAGGAGCTCATATGGATACTGCTGCTACAAGTATTTAATAAACTCAGAGAAAAGGTTTCTTAAACAGCTGGAAGCAACAAACTCAACTCAGCTCCTGTTAACATTTTGCCCAAACCTGGATTACGTTTATTGTTAGTGGGTCTCATTATCGTCTGACTTGCTCTGTTTTCACCACATTGAGCTTTTCTTTTCATGGACATTTGTGTTTGTTGTATATGAATGAGAAAGATGTTTTGTGATTCTGGCAGAATATTGTGTCTTTTGCTCTCTGTGATGTTTTTGGACTAATGTTGAAAAGCCTTACTCGAATTGCACAATGATTAATTACGATCTGCTGCATGTCTATCTGTTAACGTGATGAAGTGCAGTTCAGACCTGTGCTGTGATACAGAAGTGTTACTAGTTCTGTCCTGTAAGATTGTAAAATGAACCGGTTGCTCATTTCAGTTGCCGTCAGATCAACGTGAAGGAGCACATGTCTGAAACAGGCTCAGCGGTCATTAATGTAGCCTCAAGCAGAAAGAGATTTGGTGGCCTTCATTCTTTTTAATGCCACAGACGAGGAAATTTTCACTTTCAGACTTCTAGTCTTCATCCTCAACTGGCGCTGGCTCAAGACGTCACTTGAGAAAAACTGTCAGATTTCACGCAGCTCCCTCAGATGCCACAAAAGGCTTTTCACAACTTCCTCATTCTCATTTGCAGTAGTGCTCCCCAAGACCTGTAAACAAACTTCAATGTTTTGGAGTTACCCTTTAATGCTCTTATGCTCTCGAGTGTCTCCGTTCCTTTTGTCATCAAACTGCAGGGGGTTGATAAGCTATAAAGCTCTGAAGTTAGAAAAATTATAAAGTCAACTTTCATTGTTCTGAATGGTACATGGCGCAGTAGTCGCTCCCTCTTTGTCAGCTCTTGTACCGACAGAGAGGGATGCAGTCCCATCTGCCTGTTGAGGCTTTATCTCTAACAACAACATTTTATTTCTTTTGTTTCTGACTTTGCTGAAGTCTTTTTTCATGTCTGTAAATCTTCAAAGGTCTGTGTGAATTATGTTGTTGCGTGGTAGTGTCTTAGGTATGGTACAAAGGAGAGGAGTACATCAATATCAATTTACAGTGACACTGCCCATAGATTCCCTGTTTGCTTTCCGGCTGTTGAAGACACCCTCTGCAGAATATATTTCTGATGAAAGCAGCTGAGTTACTCTGGCTTTAACTAGGAGTGTTTCCCAGCTGGAAGCAGCATGGATGTACTTTATGCTTTTAAACAACGTCTTTTCCATGTATAAGCTTTTCATTTCATGTTATTAGATGACTGAAGGAGGGTGCTTGCGCCACTAGATGCTCAATTATAGAGTCCTTTATATTATTGACAGGTTCTGATCTAAAAGAGGTTCAGTCTGCATGCTAACACATTCTTCTACTTTGGAGGACACAAATGTTTTATGCCTCATCTCTGTCTCTCATTGCTTCGTTCAGTCTTATGCGAAGCACGCAAATCAGCTATTATTCTTTGTGGTCAGAATGTAATTTATGGAACGCTGTGCCGTGCATATGAAGTAACTTCATTATATGTAACTGCTCTTCGTGACTCAACATGGAATTCACTCTCAATTTTCTCTTCATTTGCTAGTCAGAGCAGTTACTCTGTGCTGGTCCCATAACACCAGTTGCACATACATTAAGCACTAACACAGAACATATAGTGTGTGTTTGTGTGCATGCATAGGACTGTGAGTGACTGCTAGCTTGTGTGTTTGGTTGCCTGTGTGTCACTTCCTATTAGTAGATGCTGGGCTAATGCATTGTTATGTTTTTGAAGAAATTCTCCATAACCGTTTCATAACAGAGTCATGCAACCGCGAAACACGCCAGAGCTCATTTTTTCTAATAGTTCTCAGTTGAGACATGCAGAGATGGTCTCTGTCCTTGAATCTTGAGCAATTGGTCAAATTTAATCATTGGCCCTGGTTGTCAAGCTACTGCAGCTGGAGACCAAACAGGTGAAGTAACTGTTACATTTAGAGCTGGAGAGACACTAAGTGCTTAGGAGCCTAATTTGCCCCAATCCATTTTTAAAACCCAGAGTTTTTTCTCTTTCAGGTAATGAAGAATTCAGTTCAGACACATACAAGAGCAGTTGTAAACCAGGAGAAACATTCATCTCTCAGTTGTCCTCACTTCGTGGGACACTCTCTATTCCTCTCCACGATCTCTTGTTAGACTAAAAATCAATCCCACCATGGAGTAGCAGCCCATTTGTCCTTGGCTTTGACAGAGGCTTGGGTCAATAAAGGCACTGCATCGCTACTCCCTCGTTGGGCCTCCCAGCAAAGCCTCTGCTTGGCACAGCAATACTCTGACGGGCGTCCATGATAGATGGCACACACATGTGAATGGAATCACTGGAGCAAGTCGGAGCTACAGGGCAGCACTGACGTATTTTGTTGCCTCTGCCGCTTTTATCTCATGGTGGTGCATCAGATGGTAAAATGACAGCAACTTGAACCATGTCCCTTATAGACCACACTCCATTTAAAATCTGGGTTTATTTTTTATTTCTCTTTTTCCTCTCTAGTCTGAAGCGATAACATGCTGTTGTTGTCTTAATTTGGGTAGGATGAGTAATTCTTTTCCACATTGTGTGTTTTTGTTCCATGCACACAGATACAAAACCAAGAGAGATATGCAAAATTTAACACTAAATAGCAGAAGATCGATAAAAAGATGACCTTTTTTTTCATCTTCCAGGCTTTTCCCAAGAGACAAAGGAATGTAACCGTCTCGCACACTGACTTTATGTAAAGCAGGACCGATCCTCTGTGACGTCACCCGTCAGTTTCCTGATGAGGTTCTTGAAGCTCATAGCAGTGCCTCTGATTTATCTCCCAGGAAAGGCAAAGATGATCAAAGAGGAGGAGTGTGAGTGGAGCCGAGGTGGGCCATGGACTGTCTGATAACGGGACTCACCTGTCACTTAAAGAGTCCAAGACCTAAATTATGCATAACTTTAAGTCGTCACACAACCTAAACTGGTAAATTACATATAATTATCAACAAGAGGTAAATTAACTATTGGGAGAAAAATCATTTTTGTACCAGGCTGTAAACATGCGTATTGCTGCTATAAAGTCAGACCTTTGATCACGAGGATCCAAAGGGATTGAGTCACTTTTGAAGTCAGACCCAAGTGGCCATTTTAGGACCTGAGGAGCTTTTTGTCTCTTTTATATTCCAGCACTAAACTGAGACTGAGGGAATATTATTAGTTTTACAGGTATTTGAGCAAAACCGAACTAGACTTTTAACCTGATGGTGCAACCAGAGGGACAGTCAGGGGCTCAGAAAACTCAGCTGAGTGCATTCTGTAGTTACCTTGAATAGTAGCAAATGTCACTGCCGTACATCCATCCATCCATCCATCCATCCATCCATCCATTATCTATACACCGCTTAATCCTCACTAGGGTCGCGGGGGGGCTGGAGCCTAACAGTACATACAGTGGGTGTCAACATTTTTTAGTGAGTACAAATATGAAGCTCTGTACTCACAGTCACATGATTAAAGTCTGTACAAGCTTTTATTGTAGCTAATTAAATAGTCATTGAAATATCTTCCCAAAATGGTGGATAAAGCAACAGACTGCCATTGCCACCCCTTGAGCCAACTGCTTTTCTGTCTCAGAATATCTCTGTTTTATCTTACTTAACAAAACAGTTTCCAAAGAAAGCTGCACTATAGTCGAGCTGAGTGTTAAGTAATAAACATGCAGGAGATTTGTTTCTATTTCCCTTTAATCTCTCAAATTTAAGTCTGAGGCCCATACATCAGCTGTGAGGCAGGATGTTTTCACACTGCAGCTACTGTGTCTTTGCCATTTGATACCTCAGACATTCTTCACACCAAGTGGTCTTGAATCTCTTGGAGTCAGTCGGTGGTCAGGAGCATGTAGCAAACGAGGTAGACAAATTAATTTCCTTAGTGCTAATAAAAGACAGCTTAGCCTGACTAAGAGGAGCATAATTAACAAAATCCTTTAATTTACTTGATTGTCCCTTGGATGAACATTTGATTTACTAATTAACCTGTTGCAGCCGACTTCCCTCAGTCCCAGACTGCTGAATGCAATCAGTCTGGTCCTATCATTATGCGTCATGAATAAATGTATGCATTACCATTATTATCAATTAGATGTCCTGCATTATATAATCAGGCAGAAATTATGCATATTTATTCAGCTCCTCACCTATTAGCTCTCTTCTGAATTGCTCATTTAAAAAGATAAGACAACAGTTCAGTTAACAGGCAAACAGTCTCCAACACAGAAGCACACACTAAGTGGAGTTTCCCAAAATCTCCAAATGAAGTCAAAACAGAACAGCATGTCAACTAAGCAAACTTTTTAGGTAGCGTATGATCACTGAGTAAGAGCTTTAGACGACTAACCACAGTGGGACAGGCCCTCTTTAACATAAAGATGAAACAGCCTGTGAGTGTCACTTCCTATTCTTTGCGTCATGTGGCTCTTTTCAGCTACTTCCTCTTTTGCTACGTATCAATACTCACAGCACTATTTACTTACGACCACATGCCCACGGGGAGACTTTATGAAGAACAGCGTTGTTAACGACAAAAACTCGATCAGCCATGGATGGAGATCTGCTGTCTTTGTCGTCTTCCTCTTCATTATCATCCTCATCACCGGCAGCAGAAACACAGACAGATACTTCACCTAAGAGTGAGAGCAGCCTCCCTCAGGGCCAACAGGAACACAAAGCAGCTGAAGCATTATGGTATGTATGTGTCACATTTCTAAATACATACAATCTGCCAATCACAGGTCAACTGTTAAGTTCTGTTGTACTGCTTTGTATGTGTTTATTATATAACAGTTGTACAAGGGCTTCTGTAATCGTATTGCTTCCTTCAAATATATACACTGAGACTCACAGAGCCCATATAATAGATAATTTAGTTTAGTTTTTACATTTGTCTGGTCACTAATATATGATACTTGAACCCACGCTTAGAACAATTCTTCTAATCGTGTTTGTAGAGAAGCTCACATGGTTGAAAAATGAAAAATTTCAGCTGAGTGAGAGGAGGAATAAAGAGTAGCTGCGGAGTTTCCCATGAGGTCGTAAAGATGTAGGCTTCAGTTTGTTGTTTCACTTGACTGACTTCATCGTGTTGTGGAAAAAACCCCCCCAAAAAACAAAGCTACTAATAAAATGCTATCTATTATGTAACGCCAAGCAATCAAGCTGAAATAACATTTGGATTTTGTGGTTCTCTTTTTTTTATATTTAAGTGACGAAGGTGTAGGCACACTTGGTGAATACCACGACGACACTACTTAAAAAGATATTTATGTTGAAAATCGTGAAACTCCCCTTTCCTCTGTTACCAGTTCCACATATCTAGAGTGATATTTGTCAGAGTTCCCACCAGCAAGAGGGAAAGATATTATCTCCCTCTTTATCATATGCCATGACAGTGAATTACCATATTGCTGGAAGAAGCAGTGGCATTTTGGTGTCCTTCCAAGGCGGCCTGCGATTGAAAACTTTGTGAAACTGGGTCACACAGTGTATATCGGCTGTCAGAGAAGCCAAGAGTGAAAAGGCTGTGGATCAGGGAGACACGGAGCATGGTGTGGTCCCAATAGGATGGCTGAATACACAGTGCTGACTTGCCAAGACAGGGTATTGGACATGGGTGTGTTAGCATTTTATGCCATACTGGCCACTAAAATTAGGATCCGTTTCATTTCATTTTGTTTCATTTCCGCCTCTGACTTCATCCCACACTTCCCAAACTGCAGAGCTGGTGGTTTATTTTGGATGATTCACCTATTAGTGGCCATAAACAGCCTCCACTAAAGCCCTTTGCTGCCTTGTTGAACCCTGAGGGATGACAGATGGTACTGTGCAGATTTAGACAAATATTTTGACACTGGCTCAACTTTGCTTTTATATAATAACCATTTTTGATTATCTGATAAGGCCATGCAGGTTTCACACAGCCTGCAGTGTATCTTTTGGAAAAGCAATGCATTTTGTGGAGAACATAACCTTGCTCGAGGTTGGATAATACATTTTCTGAAAATGTCAGCTCTTCAAAGAAAAAGGAAAATGCCCTTGTTTTAAGCTTTGTCAAACAACATATGTTTTATATTATCCAGGGGCTTTGAGAAGTTGTCAGAAAAACAAAGTTCAACATCCTGGGATATATGCAAATTTTCTTTCCAGCAGAAAGTTAGATGAGAAGATTGACAACCCTCTCATGAATGTATGTAAATAATAGTCCCATAATAGATTAGCCAGGAAATAAAGGGGGAACAGTAATGGTACCAAAGCATATGATAAAAATGATTGTATGTACGTCAAACAAAATATGAAAAATATCTAAAAACATGAAAATGAACTATCACTTAATCAATTGAAACGACATTTAATTGACAGGCATATAATGGGAGCTTAAAGATTATCACCAGAAGCATAACAGGGATTTTATATATTGGAATTTACCGTGATTAAATCCAGAAATGGAGGTAAAGTTACGATAAAATACCTGTGAATACTTGAGAAAAAACAACTGTTACATATTATTTACATGGCCGATTTATGGTGCTTTTATGGTTGTTATTTATAGCATGTACCCCAGTGACACAAAGAAAATCTGTAAAATAACCTTAAACTATTTGGAAAAAGTACGTCTGAAAAAGGTTTAAAAAAAAAAGAAAGAAAGAAAGAAAAGAAAAAAAGAAAAGGTATAGCTCTATCTGGAAACAAAGGGAAATAATTATTCAGGTTATGTCCAAAGAAACCAAACTCCACCTACCAGCACCTTATGAATACATAATATGACAAAAAAAAAAAAAAAAGCTAGACCTTGTTATGTTATTGTTACTGTCTGTGGCTATGGTTACTAACAGTGATCATTCAGGGCACATCTGTGTGTTCTGGAAAAAACCTAAACCTCTGTGGTTTGTGTAGTTGTCTAAGCTCAGCTAAGCTAACCTGCTGCAGGCATGAGGATGGTACCAAGTTTGCGTCTCGACAGCAAAGCAAATCAACACTTTCTTTTAAAACTTTTTCACTAATCTAATCTGCTGAACCTGACACTCAAGGTCACCGTCGTTTTAGATTTGTACAGATAGCCTCACATTTAGACTGGGAATGTTTGTTGCACATAGAACTTTCTTAGGAACATATAACCTGCAAAAAATAACTCCTTGAATGTCATTTTTTTCATTAAGGAGACTTACATGTTCCTATTTGTTTTTGCCTTGACCCGACAATGGTGCTCTCTGAAATTGTGTAACACAGGTTTTCACATAGCAGGACACTGTACATAAGTGGATAAAAGCATGTGTTTGCGGAGGAGTTTAGCCTTAAGGGGGATGAGAGGTGATCGCAGATTGTGATTCTTTGTAGTACTTAGCTCTGTGAGGTTACAGCAGTCCAACAGTATGTTTGTGTGAAGAAGCCCTGGGGGCTACATGCAGAGTTGTGTGTTCCTCCGTGAGCCGATCCCCCCCCTGGGCTTCACTCTGCTGCTTCTCTGTCAGAGATTTCTTTTAGACCAGACCTCACAACAGAGCTGCTGGAAAGAAAGCTAGTTTGACTAATTAATCCTTGCAAATATTTTTCTTTTCTGCAAGTGGCTTAATAGAAATCAACATTTTGCAGGGATCATCACCCACATTGTTTCCACAGGCTATCAGTACACAAATACATCTGATAGTAAACACAGACTTTGATTGGCTAGCAAAAGCAGATGCAAAGAATTGCATCACTGTGTGTGTGTCTGAGTGACTTGAGTGCATAATGTGACTGTGCATGTGTGTGTGTGTGTGTGTGTGTGTGTGTGTGTGCGTGGGTGTGCATAATAGCTCCTATTCGATTCTCGGTAAGTGCTCTCTATGCGAGTGGGTGTTCAAAAGTACCCTGACATTCCATTCTTTTGTGCATACATGTGTTTGCTTATTAATAGAAATCCTCTACGAATGTTCTTCATCATGCCTCTATTTATGTCACATAACCGCTGTGTACGTGTTGTCTGCGTGTCGGTGTGCTGTGCAGGACGGAGGATGTGGGTCCCACGGGCAACCGACTGCTGTCCACAGAGGAACAGGTGACTCTGATCACTGAGAGTCTGACAGTCACCTCCACCGACCAGGAGAAACTGCTGCTGCTCAACAAGAACACTGAGCTGCGCAAAGTCAACAAAGAGGTACAGCATCACCTGAAACTGGTGCAGATTCTCCACAGGTTCACATTTTTGTTGCTGATGTTGGCAATTACACTTAGTTCTCTCTGAAAAACCAGAGGAGGACGTGGGCGTTGTGTGAAAACTGCTGCAAAGCTGTGAAGAATCATCATTTATGAGCTGCGTTTTCACAATTACACAACCTTTGCGTCCTGCTTTTAATTAGATGCTGCTTAATAAAAAATGAAGACGAGGGGAAAATTATTCTCTCAATTGATTCACTGTAATGAATTTAGAGGTTTTAATAAGTGTAGACAGAGGAGCGAAGTGTCTCACCTCACCTCCTGATGCCCACGTTGTTGAGGGGACACACTGGTGATGATGGAATAAATGATGCTATCGATTGCTGCTGCAGAAGCCATGGCGATGATGATTATTCTGTGATGGTAATGATGATGATGATGATGGGGATGATGATGGTGTGTCACAGCTGATGAAGCTGAATGAGGACTGGGACCAGGTGTACCGCAGTGCCACGCTGGGTCTACAGCACAGAGTGGAGACTTTGGAGCTGGAGAACAACGCCATCAAACAGCTAAACAGCAGGCTGCTCCTCAAAGTGGAGCATCAACAAGTAAATACACATTGATACTTCAAGCACTTACACAAGCTGAGTTTACTGCCTGGTGTAGACACCGAAAGTGGGTGTAGATACAGTACATGGGGGAATTCCTGTGGTTTACATGTGTGATGTTTAGCGCTGTGTTTTGGATTGCAGAGTGCAAAGGAGTATTATGAGCAGGCGCTAATGCAAGAGCTGAAGAAGAACCAGGAGCTGCAAGAATACATCAGGTTGTTGGAAAGTAGGATGCACCACCCAGAGAGAGACTGTACACCTGCCAAACAGGTATTCCTTATGTCAGGTGATCAGTTTTCATGTCTTTCAATATTCTCTGCTCCATGACTAGAAAGTCGCTCATCACTTTGTCTTATGTCTTCACTAAAGGGCAGCTTCATTGCTGCGAGGCACAGTCCCGTGTCGAGCCCCCCCTCTAATCTTCCTGGAGGTCCTGACCTGTCACGCAGCCACGTCTCTGGGTACAACCCCACATCCTCCTTTTTCCCCACATTTTCCAACCCGGAGGCGGGATGGCAGGGAAAAAGCCAGAGTAGCAGTCCTCCGGTGGGAGCACTGGGAGACTCCCAGCAAGAAGTGCACGACCTAAAAGAGCAGCTGGAGGCACTGAGATGTCAGGTGGGCTGCTCTCTTCAACACGGCATGAAAAAATTTTCCATCTATAATGTGATGAGAACAGAACTGATGTCAACTCACTGTTGCCAGGGAAAGATTTGCTTAATGCTTTAACTGAGACTTCAATGAGATGGTGAACTGCACCACCAAGTGGCAGCTCTGTGCCGCTCAGAAATTCAAAGTAATAAGAAGTATCTGCAGAACACAAGATATGGCTTTGATATTGGCCGACTGCCACATTGATGTCTTGTGTCAGCAGACTCAGATTTATGAAGCCGAATATCAGACAGAGCACAGCGACCACAAGCACACACTGCAGGAGAACCGGAGGCTGAGGAAGAAGAGGGAGGAGATGCGCCAACAGGTGGCACTATTGCAAGAACAGGTAATGTTGTAATCATACACAAAGGCATACACACTAAAGCACACACAGACACACACATATTATTACTCACATGCCTTCAGCGCAGATTATTACATGTATCAGTCGTCTAACCTTGATCTAATCCCCCATCCCTCAAAACATGTCTATACAAATGAAGAACCATGTAGTGACTGATTATCTTGTTTGAGACTCTGCGCCATGTTGGTTGGGTTTTATAAAATGGTGTATATAGGTAATGCAGTATCAGTTTATAAAGACTGCAGTAAATGTGAAATCTAAAACAAACCCTAATTTATATTCAAGACCTTTATGGGATGTCTTTACTGCTCCACACCACCTCCAAGAATATAAATTAGCCCTATTTGACAAAATATGGAGATAAATCCACACTGAGCTGCTCCTTGCATGTGTCAAAGATTGGTTTGATGCTACAACCTCATTTTTATTTATTTTTTTATTCCACCATGTGCCGTACTGACATTGCTGCAGCTCAAGGTTTATGAGGATGACTTCAGACGGGAGCGGTCTGACAAACAGATGCTGCAGAGACTGCTGTTAAAGAAGACGCCTCCAAACAAGGACCCGGTGCTCGTCCACCGCTGCAATAATGAGCAGCGGCTGCTAGGGGGAGACAAGAGGACACAAAGTGGAGAAAGAAGGAAAGAGCACCACCCGCTCTGCCCCAAACACCTGAACAGGGACAAAGAGTCAGAGTGAGGCCGAGAAGCACAGAGTAACATGAAAATTAAGTCTGTTAAATGAGTTTCGGACTGGATCAAATGAGATTTAGGTGTGTCAGAGACTCTGAGTCTTATCTGGAAATGCAGCAAAGCATCTTTACAGAAGCAAAAAAAATTCAAACTCCTACATACAACAGAGATATTCACCAACGTTTGCACTTTTATATTTTATGTATTTAATATATCTCTTTTCTTTAATTACATTTTAACAGCAGATGACCAACCCCACGGTTGTCGTCTCATTCTGATATATTTTTGACTTCAAAGAATTTCCTCTCAAACTTCCAGACAATAAACTACATAAAATGTGTTTGCAGTGACCTCAGAAAGTCCAATAAGGAAGTAGCACCGAGGGGTTATCCCAGAGAAGTGATGTATTGCCTCCTGACTGAGGTCATGTCTTCTGCTTGCCTAGGAATCTCAAAGGTTTACCGCTGCTGTTTCCTGGTCACTAGTCCTCATCCGAGCAGAAACTCTTCACATGCATCATTTCACAACAGAGGTGACCACTGAGTGATCAGGGCTCTGAAAATGGTTCCTGTAACAGACTGTAGAATATTCTTCCCCAATCTTTTGTGTTAAAGGTCATGTCATAGTGTATTTTAAAGGACAATCTGTGACAAGTAATCTATACATTTGTTTGGATTTTTGTTAATTTTCGTCATTGATTTATTGGTTGATCTGCGTGTAAACCAAAATGACATCATCAGTGCATCACATGTTTTTGTTGAAGGAAGACCAGATGTGAACGCTGTGGTTTCTTGACCACACAGACAAGCTGCATCCTCAAACTTGGTTCTTTCACAGTGTCCAAAAAACAAAGCTGACAGTTTTGTTGAATTTCCTGTTTGTGCTCATTATCTCTCTAGTTTCCTATTTATAAATCAAATAAATTCTTATAATCCCCATTTTAAGATGAACCTTTAATGAGTTTTTTTTTTCTCTTTGTTCAAGGAGAAAAACACAAACAAATGCCAATGGTGATATTCTCTATATACATTTGTTTTTTTGTTTTTTTGTTTTTTTTTGAAGATAGAAAAAGACTGAACTAGAAAAATAATGATTTTATGATGCCCAGAACAACAGCTATAAAATCAGTTAAAGGAAAAGGAAGATATTGTCCATTAGTTTGAAAGGAGACTGTTACTCATCTTGTTTTATTCATTCTTTACCCAGCTCTCTTCACACTCTCATCACGCTCAATATAAAATATGTCTTTCACCATCATGTCATTATTTCATCCCCCTCTGAGTTCCTGACAAGGAAGAGAAAAGTTGAATATGAGGTTGTGATGACTGGGAAAGTTTGTCTGATAAGGAAAATGAGTCACTGTGGCCCAATAATGTATTGGTTCATTATGGACCAAGTTGACAATGAAGGACAGCTCCAAAAATAGCCCCTGTGTCTGTAAATCAAACATAATCTGTTTCCTCTTCAGACAGTGTGACGTTAGTCCAGAGAATGGAGCTCTGGCACGTACCTCCTGAAAGAAAATGGTTTTATGTTACTTGAGTTAATGAACGCCTTTGTGTGGTCCACACCTGGAATGCGCAATGTAAAGGCTGCGTGAGTCATGGAGTCACAGAATTTCCTCTTTCTGTTGTTGTCCTTTGACTTGTAAAACAACATGCAACATTAGCTGAGGTCACAGATGAACTTCGAGATGCGAAAATGAGGTTGAGGACTTTCCAGAATACGCTCTACACAGTATAAAAGCTCTGCCACAGACGATCCAGACTCACAGAAGCGAGCAGCAGAAGACTGAACAGCAGACAGGTATGGAGACAAAAACATATCTACCACTATAGCCATAGCTTGTACTTTAGTTTTAGATTTTATACATAGAAATGCAAAAAATTGTGCCTCAGGATGCAACAAGTTTTCACTCTAAAGAGGGCGCATTCTACATTTTTGACTATGTTACATATGTTTCTTTTAATGTAATTTTTTTGCTGCCACTTTTAAACAGCAGTGAAGCTTAGAGTCAGTTTTTCATCTCTTCTGACCAAATGCAAGACTGTTTTCAGTGGTCTTTGCCATGTCCACGACAACAAGAGTTATGTTGTCTTCTGGGCCCGTTTTAGTCAACAGATATTAACAGAATCATTCTAAATGTGGACAGTAAACTTAATTCAGACAGGTGTGGTGTCTCAGGTTATATTGGTCTTGAAGGGCAGAAGGAACAAGTTGTGTTCTGTGTTTAGTGGGCAGGGCATTATTTATTTTTATGTCTATGAACAGCTGTAAGTTTAGCTTTACGTTGGAAACTAGGTAAATGTCCAAATGCTACATTTTGACATACTCAAACTCTAATAGCGCTGTCTTTTTTACCTCCTCAGCTCCAGCACCACCACATACAGTCTCTACCTTATAAATTTTGGAAGCAGAAAGCCTGAGGAATCAGAAACTGTCCGACAGAGATGACTACATCCGCAGCTAAACTACAGGAGACCTACAACCAGCAGGGCTTCCTCTCAGCGCTGCCTGTGCTGAATGAGGCTGAGCTAAGGGAGGCCAGAAATGCCTTTTCTAAGCTGGAGGAGGAATTTGGTGAGTAGCACACAGGGGAAATGAGAGGAGAGAGCTGGTTAAGGAAAAGAGGAGCAGTGGGAATCTTACAGTAAAAAACTCATAAAACCTAATTTCATCACAACTGTGCACAGTAGTGTCTTAAAAGCATAATGCCTGTTTTTATTCCACATAAAACTAATGGAAATAGTGTAAGAAAGCTGTGATGACCCCTAAATGTGGCACTAATCGTCATGTGTTTTGTATGTATTTACAGGTGAGGAGTACACTCAGTACAGCCTCCACAATGTTCACCTTCAGTACCCGTGGGTGATGGGCCTCACCAAACACCCTCGTGTCCTGGAAGTGGTCAAAGCCGTCCTGGGCCCTGATGTCATCCTGCTTGACTCCCGCTTCATCTGTAAATACCCAACGCTCAAACCGGCCAACATCCAGGAGAACGAAGAAAACAAACCCGACAAGAACGAACTTCCATACGTGGCGTGGCATCAGGATATGAGGTAAATATTACTTACTGTAAAAACACTGAAAGGTTCTGTGTTTTGTTTTGTCTCACTCTGTTTGTTTTGTTCAGGTATTGGGGTATTGCTGGTGGCCCTGTTCTCTCTGTGTGGCTCGCTTTCGATGACTCACTGAAAGAAAACGGTGCCCTTCAGGTCATTCCAGGTACATAAACTGCTTTTATGCTTTTTATACATGTTTGTACCTCAGGCCAGAGGCCCGGTTCAGCCTTGTTAAATCAAAACAATGGGTAACATTGAACTCAGTCCTGTACACTTGTAGACTTATGATTTATTTCACTGTAACCAGGAGCAGCCTCACTGCTTGTTTTGGTGCTGACTCTGGTAAAGTGGCTACAACAGCTGAGACTGTCAGTATTAAATGTTAAATAAAGAAGAAACTCTTTAAAAAAGCAAAACAAAAACAATGTAAGAGGAAAGTAGGTTGTTCTGTCGTTCTATCTTAACTTTATTGATCTTTTTTTCTGAAGTTTAGTCAGTTTAGCACCTCATAAAATGACTTTGAACTAATCTGTCAGCTGAAATCCAGTTAACTCAGATTTCTAAGGCAGCAGGAAACTTAAGCTGAATGAATGAAATTGACTCACACTAATGCTTTTCTTGAATCCCTTCAAAAACGTGTGCCTTTGATGTATATGAGTGTTGAATAAAACTGCCTGTAAAATGTACTTTCTTAAACCAACACCTCGCCTCATGTAGCTGAACCTTGTGTCCTGTAGGCAGCCACGACTCTGGCATGTTGCCTCACCGCCAAGCCATCCGTCCTGGAAACATGCTGTCGGTCAACCAGGAGATCCCAGAGGAGCTGGTGCAGGTGGAGGAAGCCGTGCTTTGCCCTCTGTTAGCTGGACAGATGTCTGTGAGTATATTTTCATGCTAAAGACAAATGGTTACAAATTGGCTTGAAGCCAATGCAAGCTGAGTGAACTGGAAAACTGTTTTTGAATAGATCCACGATGGACTCCTCGTCCACGCAAGTGACGCCAACACATCACAGAGGAGGCGCTGTGGCTTCGTGATCCGCTATGTTCCCACCGTTGCCTACCCCACAGAGGTGAGACAAACACATCTTCTGTTTGAGTTTTAATTTTAGAGTGTCAGACATGTGTTGTGTACTGAGCTTTTTCTTATTGTTGTTTTGCTCTTAGGATCCTGATCGGCCGAGGAAATTTCATGCAACAATGTTGGTCTCTGGAACCGACCAGTTCAACCATTTCTCCAGCAAAAGCACATGAATACTTACTGTCTTCCTGCATAAAATAGAAGTTGCTTTTTACACTTAACAACAATATTTCATACTTTATAGTTAGAGCAAATGTTTATTGGCTATTTTTGACCAATAGAATAAGTATGTTGTGATATATTGAAATGTCTGAGCTGTGAATCAGTCATGAATGAATGACATTGTCTTGATGTGAATGTTTTCTTGTGCCACATATAGTTTTAACTGGACTGTTTTATGAAACCTTAAATAAATTTGACAGAACTTACACAAACAGTAGTGAATTCTGGTATTTATTTATTTAAATTATCATATGAAGGATTTAAACACGATGTGATGGAAAAATAATCGTTCGTTCCTCTTCGACAACCACAGAATGTTCCAACCATAAGGTGTTATGAAGTACTGAGTATGAAAACTTTTGGAACTACTGTTTTGTAAGACAAATATATCATCTTTAAGATCAAGACAAACTTATTCATTTGACTCTCACACATCTGTTTATGACACACTGTCATAGATTCAGAGTATAAATATATAATTTCCTACCCAAAGCACTGTTCCACTTCAGATAAAGTTAATATTTATTGCAAGAAGTGCTAAAATGCAGCACACCGTACAATAAGATTGCTAGAATTGTTACTTTTAACAACTGAAAAGTGAAATGTTATCCTGCTCGGGGGCTTAATAAAATCATAAAAGAGGATTTCAAACTTATGTTCCTTTCTGCAAATGTGAACAAGACTTGTGTTCCTGTACAAAATAAGAAATCAATGTTATAAGTGATACCAGAAGCAAAAACTGTGCAAGTGTTAGAGGACATACGGTACTTGTCATGTCATTTCTACTGAGTCAAATCCATTCACCTTCAGTTTGATTGATATTATCTCAAGCAAACAACAAAAAAAATAGGTTTTCTGAAAATCTACAAAAATGGAGTTATCTGTTTTTGCAAATGAACTTTTCAAATGTTAATGCTGTGACACTTCTGATTGTACTTATTAATGGAAAACATATAAAGCAATTGTGGCTTTGGCACCTAGTAGGGTCTGACAGCTTCATTAAGAAAAACAACGTTAAATCTGAATCTGACGGTATATCATGAACTGTCGTGAGGAATTGCCACCTTATTTTGTGCTTTGTCTACCTTTCAAACCTTGTGGTGACGTTTAACAACTCTGGGTTCCTCTAAGCAACTAATTGAGGATCTAAATGTTACACTAATGAAGGTGCAAAGAAGAGAATGACTACTAATAAAAGATACACAAGTGCTTCCGGCGTGCAATTTCCACTGTCCCACTTATAGTCAATTAAGGGGAACTGTGGAAGCCAAAAACCGAGAGAATTTTCAGATAAACCTGAATGTCTACAGGGCAGAAAGGCAAAGCAAAACACCCACATGACTGCAAATGAGCTACGGGAAGATGTAGCTGACACTGGGGCAGTGGTGCATTTGTTCCACTGTGCAGCAGTGATGCACAAACAGGGTCTACACGAAAAGTCAAAAGTCACACGGCTTACCTGCAGCCTCATTACAAAGTCAATATCTGAATTACACCTGGAACATTTGGATAAGCCAGCCCCAATTTGGAAATGACCAAAATAATCACTAAAGGTATGTTTAGAGACAAAACGGAGCTCGAAGAAGAGACCACCTTGTCGACTCTCAGCTGGTGCTGGGAATATTCTGCTTTTGTATTGTGTGGAAGCCACTGGCACAAAAAAACTTGCACTGACAATCCACTAAATATCAACAAATTCTGCAAGCAAACATCACACATGCATAAGAAGGCTAGTTTTAGGACAATGACCCAAATCGTACTTCAAACTTCACCATGAACCGTTTAAAACAATGAACAGCAGCTTTACAAGTCCCCACAGTCCACTGATCTGAACATCACCACACTTTGTGGGGACATCTTAAACAAACTGTGCATGAAGGACAGACAAAAAATAAACAGAACTAGAAGTAATGTGTGAGGAGGAGTGGCTGAAAATTCTTAGATCATGAAACTCTTTTCTGGCTTCCAAGCGACTGACAGTAGTTTCTCCAGGTTCTTCATTTTTCCTGAACTATTTCACACAACTATACATATTTCTATTCTCTGCATCCCAGTTTATGAGACATTTATACACAACAGTCCATTGCCCTCTTGCCCTGTGGAATAATCTGATCACTTTCTGTCATGGATCTAAACAGTTCAGTGTAATGTGCATTATACATGGATGTCCGAACACTGTCACACAGTACTTAAGCTATAAATAGTTTATTACTGGTTGTCTGCATTTCTAATGGAAAAATGAATGCAAAATTATCATTTGAAGAGCAGCCTTTATTAAAAAATGAAAACACTGACAATATAACCACAGCAAAGTAACACAACTCAATATAATTTGTATGGAAGAGTTTTTTTTAGAATTCATAATTCTAACCATCTATGATGTAAAAAAGCTCTTGTTAAGCCAGTTTCAGTGTCTCTTTAACCATGACACCAACTCCATCAAAAACTTTATGAATGGGAGCGTTGCACATGAAGGCACAGGTGGTGACCAGCTTGTTTTTCACATCGACGTGAGCTTCCTCCACATCTTTGTTCACGTGTTTGCAGCCCATCTCCTTCACAGCACCTGCTGTCTGAGCATACGGCCACCTGAGGANGTCTGAGAACAATGATCCTTTGTCTTTTGCAGGAAATTTTGCACTTTACTTTGCATATGACAGATGAAGTGACATTCCTTCTCTCATTCATCAGCTACCAAGAATCAAGGAAAATGAATCATTCTGTTTGCATCTCAGGTGTTTTCCACAAAATGGATTCAAGTCATCCTCACATGAACCAAGCAGAATCAAAACCAGAAAAAACAATTCTTATACAAAGATAAAACATGTCAGTTCATGTCCCTCAGGCCAGGAACCCTTTAACACAAGTTTTTGTTTCTTCTCACAGGTCTGTTTTTTTTGTTTTCGTCTCCTTCAACAAGGAGATCCAACAATGTGTCATTTACGTTACCTCATATCTGCACTGTAAATCTAAAGTTTTCTGAATGTTACATGACTGGTTGTCGCTCTACTGCTGTTGGAATGGCATCTGAGGACAACGATCCTTTTTCTATTGTTGGACTGTTTTACTTTGCAGATGATGTGACAGAAGACGTGACATTCATTCATCAATTCATTAGAAACATAAAAAAAAAAAAAAGGGAAAATCAAGAAACATTATTCATTTGTTGTTTGTATCTCAAGCATTATCTACAAGTTGGACACTTGTCTTCCTGACATGAAGTCTAAAATAGCAATAAAACGCCAAAATGCATCGACAATAGGAAAAGTGAAACAATTAGTATGGGACGTTAAAAAATATAAAATTTGAATAATAATATTTAGTTCATTTATATTACTTGTGTTTGTGGCAAAGTGTACAATTTAAGTGCAGTACAAACACTCAGCATACAGTTGTATTCTGTGATCTGTGTGCTGCAACAGAAGATCCACTGAGTTAAAGGTGATGCTCAGAATGATGGAGATTTTATTTCAACATATTCCCTGGAGGCTGCAGGGTGGCGCAGTTGGTAGCACTGTGGCCTCGCAGCAAGAAGGTTGCCAGTTTGCGTCCCGGTGGGGGCACC